TCCCCCCCCCCCCCCTCTCTCCTTGTGGCGCGGAGCACACGGCTCGCCATCAACGAGATGGAGCTGCCACCTTCCACTGCCGCTGCAGCTCGTGCCGGTATCAATATTCAGGTCGCGCATTCTCATGGTCTAACGCGAGTGGAGTATGCGCCTAGTGGAAGCAAAGTGAGGTACGTGAGCAAAGTAGACAAAAAGCTGATCCTTCAGCAGCGCGTGTGCTTACCCCCGGCGCTTTCCGCCTTGTGCTGCTCCCAGCTGGCTGTTCACAGGTGGTGACGAAGGTACGGTGCGACTGCTACCCACGGATCCCAGCTCAGGTGCAGAAGCCTTGGCCATCGACGACGCCACGGCCCCCATCAACTGGATCGATGCGGATGCCGACTATCTCGTAGCCGCCGCAGCAGATGGAGCAGTGCGCATATATCAACACAACGCCTCTCTTTCGGAAGATGGCGCGGCAGCGACCGATCTGGTAGGCATCCTCACCCGCACAGGACTTCCCGCTCGATGCGCTGCCTTGGAGCGACACGTTCTGCCGACCAAAACTCCGCGAGTCGCTTGCTTGAGCGATGACCTCGTCATCAAAGTGGTCGATTCTGGTGCCCCTCAACGCGTGCAGCTCCTCGCCAAACACTCTCGTCCGCCCAAAGCTGCTGCCTGGTCTCCCGTCGAGCCTCTGCTAATCACCACCGATTGCGACGGGGTGGCTTGCATCTGGGACATGCAGGGCACCGAGCCGGTACACGTCAAAGCGATAGAGAGAGTCTTAGCTCAGGCTCGGCCAGAGTCAGAGTACAGCTCCGAGCCCGTGTGGCATCCTAGTGGCAACTCTTTCGTACTGCCAAGCAAGACGCACGAAGTTGTCATGGTTGAGAAGCCGTCTTGGAATGTCTCGACAAGCTTCTCCGCTCCAGCTCGTGACCAATTGCCGCCGGGTGTTGAATCGCCGAGCGGTCAGATCAGCGCCTTGTCCTTCTCGCCGAATGGCCGGTATCTGGCTGTAGCTACCGCCAGCGCGCATGTCACCATTTGGGACACCGCAACGCGCAAGCCTCTTCGACAGAGATCAGCCTACTCTCTCGTCACAGGCATCAGCTGGCATCCCGAAGCTGATGCTCTCGCGTGGACCGACGCGCAAGGTCAACTATCGCGCTGGTGGGAAGTAGTGGGGTCAGCAAACGCGAATCCGTTTGAGCTGCTGGACTACCAGCACAGGTCTACGGAGCAGACGCTCAAAGAGCGGGTCCGCCAGCAACAAGTCACTGAGGACATAGATGCGCTCTTCGATGGCGCAGGCCTATCCGACGAAGATGAGGAGACAGAAGCAATGCTCGACAAAGATGAACGTAGGCCGCGAACGCGTGAGCGGCAAATGCGGGCCGGTGGAGAGGTCGATGACGATCTGAACGACTTTGTAGTAGATGACGATGGCGGCGGCACTGGCTATGGTGCTGCCACCGATCGACGTTCGAGAACTCAGAAGACCACAGGCCTAACACAGCGACACGTCGGCAGGTCTCACTCTAGTCTGAGTTCGTCGACTAAGATGCAGTCCGCTTTCCAACCTACCTCGACCGACCTGCGTGGACAGCGGAGATACTTCGCTTACAGCTGCCTGGGTTCTCTTGTAGGTACAGATCAAGGCGATCACCAGACGATAGCATTTGAGTCGAGTGACGCTGGCTCAAGACGAAATTGGCGATTTGCGGATCACTTCGGATACAACATGGCATCACTTGGGGGGTCTGGTGCGCTATTTGCGTGTCCCGAGCGGCACGCGAAACACAACGATGATCATGAAGACGAGGATGACGCAGAGTCTGGGCACCCGAGTAGCATCTTTTTCAAGCCATTCGAAGCATCAGGAGCCCGGACTACGCTCGCCACAGAGTGGACCGTCAATTTGCCGAGGGGAGAAGAAGCGGTTGCGATCGCGATGGCCGGCAAAGCCCCGCGCTCGAACGCAGATTCAACAGCCGCAGACGCCATGACCATCTCAAGCGCCATCGTCGCAACATCGGCTGGCTATTTGCGCTTTTTTAGCGCATCTGGCTTCCAACGATACTTGTGGGCCCTTGGCTCACCGGTGGTATCTATGGCAGCGGGAACCCATTCAGCAATGATAGTTCACCGGGGAGCAACTTCGTGCGCCTTGGAAGGCTTTCAGAACTTGAGCTATATCCTCATCGATTTGCTCACCTTCAGCATTCAGCAACAAGGCGTCTTGCCGCTTGCCAAAGACGCCACTCTGCGCTGGGTTGGTCTGAATGACGCGGATGTGCCGGCCTTCTTTGACAGTCGTGGAGTGCTTTACTTACTGGATCGAAGCCACGCACCTCACGGTCAAGCGCGTTGGGTGCCTTGTCTCGACACCAAAAACATTCAAGCTCAACAGGCCTCCAAGACAGACTCCAGTCTTGCTCCTCGTTTACATTACTGGCCGGTCGGCCTCACCTCTCATAAATTGCTGGCCATCATTCTAAAGGGCGCCCACTCGACACCGGACCCATCTGCCTCGTCACGTCCACTCCTTCAAGATCTCGATCTTCATTTCCCTTTAGCTGCGGGCGAAGGTCCGGCTGCAGCTCTCGAGCAAGAGCATGCTCGAAGTGCGTTCCTGGCCGATTCCATTCGATCCGCCAGACGCGCTCGTGCACTTGACCTCGAGCTTGATGGAGACGAAGAGCCCGATGACGACGATTCGCCTGATCCCTGGGCACTGCAACACAATGCAGACAAAGCGCTGCTGCAGCTCATTCAGCTCGCGTGCAAAGCAGACCGACACGCCAGAGCCCTGGACGCAGCCATGGAATTGCACTCTGAGAAGACTCTCGACGCCGCCCTTCAGATCGCCACTTTCTTCCATCAACCTGGCCTTGCGGATCGCATGGAAAACTTGCGGGGTTGGGTGCGAGGAAGAAGAGAGCGTGACGAGAGACGTGGATCTGCATCAGTAGTACTTGCCCCTCAACCTCCGACTGCACTGCAATGCGGCAATGGACTCCATGGCATCAACAAAGTAGATGATACCGTGACGTCCAAGGCTTTGACCGCCAAGGCAGCGCGCAAAGCTTTGACGACTTCTTGGACGCCGCAGACTCGGAGATCGCACGGTGGCTCTGATCGGGGAGCGGGCGTACTGAGTACCTCTGCTGCCATCGCTTCTTCTCCAATCGCTGTCGACTCTCAAGCGCGCAGCACTGCAGTCGCGTGGCCAGAGTCAAGTCGCTCCGAAGAAGTCGTCAATGCCGAAAACGGCATGATTGAGCGTGGTGACTGCGACTCGATGTTGGATAAGGAAAATCTCTTTCACGACGTCGAGGACGTGGAACTGCATCAGAGGCCTGACAAGCGCAAAGCGATAGCATCGCATGATGTCGAGAAAGGTGATGCGCCTCCATCTCGGAGCAAGCTGAATTGTGAGTATCGTGGCTCGCTGCATCAGACTCAGCAAATTCATAGCTGACGCTACCATACTCTAGCCGGCAACCCTTTCGTGCGCGCAGCAACTCGAAACCCCTTCGCGCGAAATCCAGGCATGACGCGGGACCGTAGCATGCACAAGAGCTCATCCTTCTTTGATCGCGTCGATGCGTCCCTGGACGCTCAGCATGACGCTGCTCTGCCTGTCTCGCGGCTCATCAGTAGCGATAGGCGCAGCGGAAGTGGCTCAAGCAAGTCGCGTCAAAGCACACTCTTTGGCCTCGGCGCTCCAAAAGCATCGGGACCTGGCACAAAGCCTGTCGCCTCCAAAGAAGCGCCAACGCTCACTCCTAATTTTGGCCAGCACGCTAGCAGCGGCAACGAGGATTCTCAGGCAACAGACGAAAGCCTAGCCCGCACTCTTGCTACTTTCAATGATGAGGACTCTCAAAATCATCATTTGCCCTCTCTGGAAGAGACTCAGTATCCCGATCCTGACGCGGATGAAGAAACGCAACTGGTCGATGCCTCGGGACGTCAAAGCGATGCTGGGCACCGTCGCGCAGCAGAAGCCCCAGATGGAGAGGATGACAGCAACATGATGACCCTCGACGAAGCCCATCGCGCTCAAGCCAGTGCGCACATTGTCTCTCCCGTGTAACTCAGACCGCAATCATTTTTGTCTGTTCTCAACGCAAACGCTTTGACACATGCATTGTTGAACAGTGAGATGTCGAGACAAAGTTCTGGTCTAGTGCACATCAATCGTTGAAGAGCTTCGTGATGGCAGAGCACTTGGATCAACACCTTCTGCGCTCACGTCTCCGACGACCATTCCGTCTGCTGTAGCTGCTGCTCACTTGCTTCAGGTGCGCAACCGGGAAGTAATCACCAAATCTCGCACCTGTCCTTGGGGGCCCTGGCCATGGGGTCTTTACCTGCTTTGCAACCCCATGCGTCGGCGAAGCTCTGGATGTTTGCAAGAGCCGCGTTGACGCGGTAGATCGTGGGCGAGTGGGGATCTGTTCTGAGACGGCGGACCAGCTCTCCTTGCCTGATGTTGCGCGCCCATCCAATGGCATAAGCCAAGTAGAAAAGCTGTTCCCTAGTGTAAGAGAGTCCGGGCAACAGAGGATTCTTTTCCTGTGCACCTTGTCGCGACAGGCTGTCTCTCCACGCCCTCCATGACTGTGCTAGGCCGCCGGCGTCTCCTATGTCTTCTCCAATAGTGAAACGTGAGCGGAGGTGAAGCTCTCCACCTTTGCCATCAGGAATTGTTTGATTGCCATACCAGTCGATCAAGCAGTCTCTACGCTTGTTAAAAGCTTGAGCGGTTTCCGGGGTCCACCAGTCTTTGAGGGCGCCACGCTTGTCGAACAGCCGGCCGTCCGGATCGAATGCGTGAGAGAGCTCATGACCAGCTACGCTGCCGAACGCACCGTACTGAAGGTAGTCCGGCCAACGCCAGCTGAAGTACGCAGGTTGCAGAATGCCAGCAGGGAACACAATTTCATTCCCTCCGGGGTTGTAATAGGCGTTGACTTCTGCGGGGAACATATCCCATCGCTGTTCGTCGAGCTTCTTGCCTGCTTGCGCCCAATCTCGGCGCACGCCCCGGACTTGACTTCGCCATACATTTCCCAAGTATTCCCCGGGCTTGATGTCCAAGTCAGCGTAGAACGCCTCCATCGCGATGGCATTCGTCGTGTTGGGCGAAGTGGGCCAGCCAACTTTGACTTTGACAGCATCTGCCTTTGCCTCCGCCTTGCGTCTTGTCTTGGGATCCAGCCAGTCCAACTCTGGAAGTCGTGATTTGAAGGCTTTGATGATGTCATCGATGATCAATTCGGCCTTGTCCTTGGACTGCTGCGGAAACGAGTCTCTGACGAAATACCGCCCGGCGAGAAAGCCCAGCACTGAGTTGAGTGACTCCTGGCAGAATGCTGAGCGATCCTCCACCGCGTCGTTGTCTACTCCCTTTGATCTGCGGTCGAGAGCATCGATTGATCGCCGAAGAGGAACGGACGGACCGAGGGCCAAGCCCAGCGTACGCAGGACTGTCCACACGAGGTATGCTTCGAGAACGTCATCACGTGTGCGACTGACGAGGTTGTCCAACTTTTGAACGTACTTTGGCGAGATCGAGATAATTTCCTTGGGAGTATTGACGCCGATGAGCTTAAAATATTTGGGCAGGTCAATGCTGGTCAAATCGTAGGAGAGCTTTGCAACAGTGATGGGATTATACGTTCCGAGCGGATCTGCCTGTTCCTCGCCGTCTGGCGTGATAGCTGCCAAGGATGCCTCGAGCTCCACCACATCTTTAGCAAGGGAATCGAAGCTCCGCTTACCTCTCCGCGATTTTTGGGACACACTTGGCATCTCTGCTCCCTTGTCAGCCCATCGCTGCTCTTCCTTATACAATTCAGTGAAAGCGGTCTTGACCGTGTTTACGTAGAAGTCTATTTCCTCCTTGTCCAGGTAGTAGTCCTTGTCAGCCAGACCAAGACCGTCGGGGGAGAGGTAGGGAGTGCCTAGAGTTGGATCCTTGACGCGCTCTCCGTCGATCATCCAGCTGAAGAAAGGCGTGAATCCTGTGCAGAGAGAAAGGAGCAGAGGCGAGCGTGACTATGAGCCATCGTACGCGCTCTGCTAGGCAGCGTGCGTCTGATGCCACTCACCATGCGCGTGAGACCAGGCAAGGGCGTCGGTGAGAAGCTTCTGCCTGGCACCTGCGGGCGGCATTGGCTGTGGACGTTCTGTAGGTGGATGAGGTACGGGTGACCGTCCAGGGGGCTGATTGGGCGGCACAGGACCATTCTCCGAGCTGCCAATGATAGCCGCATGCTTTGCAAAGCGTTGGCGAATCTGTTGCACCAGCTTTACCACTGGTCGTGCACCGACCTCGTTCTGCGCCTGGCGGTCCATACAAGAGTTGTAGAAATCTTTAAGCTTGCCTAAGTTGCGCTGATCGGCTTTGTCAGCCTCACCCAAGCTCGAACCTGCCTTCAGGAGCGTCGCATGGGCCTGCTGACCACTCGGAGCCTCGTCCAGAAGCTTCTGAATCACTTTGGCGTTCTCAGCAGCGATATTCTGAGCGATCCCAAAGAGTCCAGCGTCTGGTGGGATGGGGTGCTCTTCCCTCCAGCCTCCAGTAGCAAACCCATAAAAGTCATGACAGGGGTTGACAGAGACGTCGATTGCGTGCAGGACGTCGGAAGCGGTTCGGACGCAGTCCGCGGTGATGCAAGCCACCTCCTTCGAGCCTCCGCCAGGACTGGGGTTGCCGACTCCCCTATGGTCGTCTGAGGCGCGGTGTCCAAAGAAAAGGCCGGCAAAGATCGAGGCCAATAGCAGCAGTGCCACGGACAGGAAGAGCAGAAACCGCTCGAGGGGACGGAGACTGTCTGGTTCAGCAAGCGGGCCGAAGACCGCACGCAATTGACGCCTAGTCCTTGAAGCCAACGTTTGACCCTGGCTTTCGCCGTCGAGTAGTGGCCTGCGCTCGTCCGCCGCTAAAGACATGATGTGTGGACTATTCCAATGTAAGCGCTGTGACAATGCCGCTATAGTAAGCGCTCCAGGCTCGACAGGGATGATGGAGGGTTGAAGGTGAACACTAGTCGCACATCGGCAGGTGGCGCTGCACGCACAGGTGCACGCGAAGCACACCAAGTCCCTACACGGTCTTTTGCGGCCCGTGCGTGCTCCGCCACGTGTCAACAGTATGCACCAGTCGCGCTCGACTTCGCGGACTATTTTCGGAAACGCTGCACGTGACTCGCAATCGCGTCCACGACGACTGCTTGCAATAAGTGCCTGCAAGTACTGAGCCATGATCGTCTGGGTTGAAGTCGTAGGGTCAGATGAGCAGACGATCATGGCTCAGTACTTGCAGATGCTGGGTCACGATGAGGATCGCCTACTTGCACGCAATGACCAGCCCACCAAAGAGCGGTTTGGACCAATACCGCGTTGTCGCCTTAGTGCTTGGGGACGCCGCTAACCGCCTCACCCCTGAATGTCACACCCCCGCTCGCAGGGGACGCGATCCGGATGATGGTAGTACGCGCGCATGCACGTCGCGCCTGCCTTCGTTCCACGCGCGCGCCGCGCGCGCGCGTGGCACTACTACCATCATCCCCACCGCGTCCCCTGCGAGCGGGGGTGTGACATTCGTCGCGAGCGCTGCTGAAGCCTCGCGCGACTGGTCGAGCCCTAAGCACCCCAACGGCCCTCGGG